CCTCCCATGTTGGTTTTGCATGGCCTGATTTTTGGTAGCATGGGGGCCACAGAGGTGGCTTCTGTGAGAAGCTGCTAGAAGCTTCCACCATGTCTAGCAGAAATGATTCCTGATAGCTCTGAGGATGGACATGCTGCTGACCAAGGCCGGGCCAATTAGAGATGATGGTAATGCGTCTGATAACATATGTAAGAAGAAATCAAAAACAAAGGTAAATGGCGCAGTTTTAATTCCAGATAGGGAAGAGGAGGTGAGAACAGGTGAGAGAAACAACATGGAGATATCAAGGTCAGTGGAGAAGGAGGGGGAGGAGGTGCTCCAGGCACTAGAGCTGACGTTCCTTTGCAGGCCATGGGGATCCACAGGGGATGCAGAGATCCACCTGCAGCCCTTGGGGGAGGCACCTGTCACCCTGAGAATCAAACCTTTCGATACTGTTTCCATAATTTCTAGCCACTTTCCCAGGAAAGTAACTATAAACATAGGTATTTATACATTCCATTAAAGATATGCCTTTTGATGGACGTTTCTCATGGCCAGTGTGGTTGGGAAGGTGGTAACCTCACTATCCAATCCCTGATCATTGTTGAAAGCTTATAAATACTGAAAGAACAAATAAACTTATTTTTTCACCACACTTCGAGCTGCGTCTGTGTGAATCATTTTGTGTTCGACAGTGATGCCCACAGATGCCCACACCAGAGCTGGTACATGCCCAGGGGAGGTTGTGATGCAGTGGGAAACTTGATGGAGGGGGCTTGAGCCTCCAAACTAGAACAGCCTGTGTTTGGAAGACTGCATCCTGTGGAAGAGTGTCCCCCACTGCAGCACTTTTGGGAGGACTGCTGCTTGTGAGATTGGAGCCACACTGGAGTTCTCAGAGAACTGCCTCCCATGGGAAGGGACACCATGATCTCAGAGGGGAATGACTTCTCTTCCTGAGCTAAGCAGAACAAAACCTTGTGTGACAAACTGACGAAAATCCACAGCCCCTTCACTGTGGGTGGGAAGGAGGAAAGTGTTAGGGGGATGAAGATATTTTTAAGGGCTTATTTGATTTCTCATTTTCCTGCTCTGATTTTATTAGTAATAAATTCATTTAATAGTTCTAAATTGAGCCTGTTTTGCCCTTGGAGTGTTTTCTCCTGGTCCTTATCTCAACTCATGAACCCTTTAATAAATTTTCTCTCCTCTGCCCAGCTGCAGCAGGGGAGGGTGACTGAGTGACTTTCATGGATGCCTGGCATTTGGCCAGCATCAAGCCACAACATCCCTGCAGTGTTAAATGCTGATGATGGCACCCTATGGTTGAAGATATCTCTTGGGTCAGTTGGATTTGGCTATCTTCACTGTGCCCCCTCCCAAACCCTTGTGCCCCCTAGACTGCTCACTGTCAGAGCATGAGAAGCTGAAAAGCCCTTGACTTAGGTTAAGCACTGTCCAACAATAGCTAAAATCTGTGTTAACAATGTGATCCTCCTCCTAAACCCAAAACATGGCATTGTACCAGCTCCTGGGAAGAAATTAACTTCATCCTAGCCCAGACCAGGACAATAATGAACATAAATTGAGTTTAGATTCCAGAAGAAATTCCAAGGGATTGACATTAGCACAGGTCCCTAGGAATAGCAATTGCGAGTATGCTTTCAAGATGAACAGATACCCATTATACATTATATAATGTATAGATGATATTATACAACCTGGCTGAGTGAACGCTGGCAAGCAAGACAAACTTTCTGGCCCTGTGTTTGTTTGTGGAAAGGCTTCCGCAAGCTTGGCACACAACCCATGCTTTTCCTCACCCACATAGCTTCTTTATCTCTTAATCCTTGTTTATATCTTCGAGTTCCACCTGAGGTCAGGTGGAAATAGATTTCCATCAATGTTATTTAAAAAAATCAGTGATATAGTAGCAGCAGTTTGGCTTAAAAAACAAGGCACACAATTCCTGTTTCTTGTGTGTTTTCTAATTCCTATCACCAAATGTTATACATTCATGTATAAAATAACTCACTCAGCATTGAATATTAGTAAAAAAAGTCAGGATGGTAGCCTATGAAGAAGAACCTTATTTCACACATCAGAGCTTGTAAGACAATGTGAATCAAATCAGTGATCTCTAGCTTAATAAAAATGAACAAGACATCCTAATTACTTCTTGTCTGTTCGCAACATCAGTTTTGTCACCACAGGAAGATAGTTACACACAGAGAATGTGCTTTTGAGCAGTGTCAGTTTGGGTATTCCAGGATACATCTGTAGTCATTCCTGAATTTAAAACTCAAGGAAGGCAAAAACAAGTAAATGTTTCAATTCTTCAGTCCCTAGGCTTTATGATGTGACTGGTGATTTAAAACACTGTGTCATGATACTCATTAGCAAAACTGCTATCATTATGCCTCCTTCTATCAGCACTTCCATCTTCTATCCTTACTTCATTCTGATAAAATTCCAGGCAAAAGCCAAATGAAGTTTGTGTTTAAATAAGAAAGCAAGGAAAATCAGAGACCACATGATACTGCAGCACTCCAGAAACACACTTGGCTGCTCCACCAACAGTTCTAGCTGATTCCTGATAATTAGCAGACTCAAATTTCATGATTTGAGCAAATTTCAGCATGCAGAAACCAAACAGGAATGTCATGTTGCAGCTGGGAAAGTATTTAAGTGCTGATGGCGCTTTAAGTATAAATTTATTAGAAAAATACGCTAGCTCTGCTTTTACCAACACAAATCTTTAATTCATGTGTCAGTCATACACTACGTATGGGATCTCCTGTACGGTATGGCCTTCACCATTCACACTTCAGTACTAGCAGTTAATGGATGTCAAGAGCATAGTTGCCTACTACAGGACAGGCATATGCTGGAGCTGTAGGAGTATCCCAGAACCTATTCTGGACCCTGACTCACCAACTCCATACAGGTCCTCTGCTCACCATCTAATTCAGCGTGGTGCTCACTGCAAGTATGCAGAACCTGCACACTGGCCCACGGGTACACTCCAGGCTTCTATGTCCCCCTTAAAACCAGCACCTACTCTCTGCCTGAGGCCTTCTGCTTTCTTGCTAGTCCAGTTTCTCATTTTCTGGGGAGTACATGTACATGTACACACCTGGGTTGTGGAGGGGACATAGCCAGAACCAGGCTGAGACCTCTGTGCATTGCCCCATCAGCTGGCACCATTGCATCAGCACTCTCGACACCCCAGACCCTCAAGATTCCAGCCTGACCAAGTGCAAAGTTCTGCATTAATGCACTTTTCCCACAGCCCCTGCACTTGCTGCGACTGACAGGATTGTTTCGTTGTCTTTCTGTCACATATTAGAATCATAACATGTGTCACGTTGAAGGGAATCATAACCATCAAGTCCTACTTTTCTTGCAGGACTGCCTGTCAGATTTGCATCCCTTTATTTTAATTTCTGACTTTCCCACTTTGCCTTAGTATCCCAGTTTGACAAGGTCCTTGATTAGATAACCTTTCCAAAGTGAACGTGATCATGTTCCACACCCTCTTGCCAATGTGAGCAAACGCTCCTGGCTCTCACTAGCTCTCTTGCCATCTCTTAGGTGGCTTTGTGTCATTGTTCATATTGTCCTACTAGTCCCTTCTGCACCTAAAATGTTCTTGACCACAAACATTTCAAGGAGCAGCACTTCTCTCTTCGCTTTCCTTCCTTCCTTCCCAACCTTTTTACTTTTTCTTGAAATCTGCTAAAAATATTCCTGCTCCTTTACCTGCCTATGAAGCAGCAACTGGACAACCCACCATTGGGTTTCATTTGAAACAAAATTTATGGATGCTTCTGTCTTGATACAGACAAAATAACACTCCAGTTCCTGAGATAATGGTCACAGAGAGAAAGAAGACAGCTTTCATTAGCAGCCAGATCTCATGTCTGTCACTGCAAGCTTCCAGCAATGCTTAGCTCTCTCACCCAGCCCTTGGGTGGATGTGCATTAGGCTTTAGTTAATGGGCTTACGTGTGGGGCTTACATGCAGCATATGGCAGTTGACTGTTGTTTAAGAAAAAGCTTCAGCACACTGTCAACTTGTCTAGGTATTTCTGAATGTCATCACATAGAGAAACACTTCAAAATGTGTCTTCCCACTGCTGCTGCTTGGGCTTAGCCTGGTGTAGTTTCTGCCACAGCACAACTAAAGGCAGAAATAAGCACTCCACACAACACCCAGCACATGCATAGGGAGATATATATCTGTTTTAAAGGTGGGATAGCAACCCCCCAACCATCTCTTAGATGTTTTTGCTTTGTTCTGAATATTTCAAGTTTTATTTCTGGTGCTTAAGTTCTCATAAAGGTGTCACTAAATTCCTTGTAGACAGTTGGGTGACAACTGCCTTTCCATTCAGAACAGTTCAAAGGTGGTGGTGTTCTTCAGAGATTCTCCTATCATCACGTTAACACAAGAGAATCAGAAAGTGCAGAGGCTTGTTAAGCATCACTGAGGCTTCATAATGAGATAGCACAATGCTTTATATGGGATCAGTTTAAATCCTAGCACTCTTGACTTCACATTTATTGAAGCCTGTCCTATTTTGTACAACACTGAGCATATAGTGTAACTCTGAGAACCACAGCTGTGACTTAGTTAATGATCTCAATAAATCCTACTTAAGCAGAGACAGGAAGAGAATTATGCAAATGACTATTACTGTGCACCATGCACTTGATAACTGAAGACATCCCACAATAAGCTCCAGCACATAAAAGGAGCGCTTTTTTAACCCAGATATATGAAAAGTATGTAAACTGGGGAATGGCTTACAGAATTTTGCTTCAGAAGAGTTGCAGTTGGAGAACATTTATTACAAACCTAATATTAAAGGAACATACAGAAAGTATATGTACAAAGAGGGATGGTTAAAAACCCAAGATGACAGATTTTTCACATATAGCTGTGACTGTGAGAAAGAATTACTTCTCTGAAAAGACCTTTCTAAAACATCGTGATAAAGGACTTTCCCACTCACACTTGGCAGCTAGATAAAATGTCTTCTATCAGCCTCTTGTAGACCCAGGCATCACCTTTAAGCCGTTGTCGCCGGATACCCACCGCTTCAGGCTTAGTGAGCTGACATACCTCTAACTCAAACTCCATAGTTACTTTACCAAAATCTGATCGTGTTTGACATTTCAGGGTATAACTGTAAAACAAAAGGGAAAACAGAATAGTTATTGAACCATTTCATGTTTGTTTTGCAATGCTATTTTAAGTTAATAGAAGTAATTTAAATAAAATGCCCCATTACTGTTCAGGATATTGTAAAACAATTGTGAAACACTCCACAGTTTAGTCAAAGCTGAGAGTTTTGTGAATACTGTAGTTTCAGGGCACCCTATTTATTATTATGCCCTAGGACTAATATGCAGCACCAATGCCCTACCCTGCCACAGGAACCTGTGCTAACCAAAGGCCCCCATCAGAGCTGGAATGATGGAAAGTTCACATGTTTTTCCTAGACAAAAACACTCTCCTTTCTGTTGGTTGCAGTTCAGCTGGTGTGAAAACAGGAAAAAACTGCATTCAGAGTTTGAATGATTACAATGGGAGCAGGTGCTGCTGTGCAATCCAGCATCCTTCCATATTATGAGTTTGGAAATGCATCAGAGGTTGATGCTCTACCAATACCCATCACTGAAATACTCAAGAACTTGAGAAAATGCATGTTGAAAAGTAAGCACAATAGTTATTTCATGCATTGGGAGCTCAGGAAATAGTCTTTCAGTTTGATCAAAAGTAAGAACCAATCTCACCTATCAGTATCTTAGTGTAGCTAATACACAGTATGAATTCAAATAATCCACAAAAAAGTGTGTGGCTTCTGTGTACTTTTTAAAACATACTGACCTCTTGACTAAAGGCCAATGACTTTTAACTGCCAAGAATGAGACTTAAAAGGTATTCACACTGTCTTCCAAAATTGTCCCATTTGGTCATGTGACTATACCTAAAACAACTTTTAGTATTTAAAATTTCACATGAGACAGGCTGATGTGAATTTTTCCTAAGTGTTCCCCTACTACTATTGCTTTATAACTGCTGGGGAAAGAGCTCTGATAGAACACACTTAACATAGTTGTGCACTATGTGGGCAGGTTTTATTGCACACATTAATTTAATGCTTTGTACATTTTCTATAAAGATTATTTTACAATGGGGTCAAGAAACTAAGTTTAAATACTTTGCTTTTTAAGGACTGGAGTAGCAACCATTTAGACAAATATAACTTATCATATTTTACACTTACCCCTTCTGAACATATTCCACATGCTTCTTTGAAAGAACAATGATTATTTCATTCAACAGGTCATCTGGATGCAGCAGATGAGTGGTGGTAATGTTACAGTGTGCCTAAAAGTAGTCAGCTTGTTAAAACAATTCAAGGAATAAAAAAATAAAAATCTGTGTGCTAAAACTGACAACATTGCAAAAAGCTTTCACTAAAGAAGTTTAAGAACAGTTAACCATGGTGACCAATGCTTCAGCATCCCAAAACTACCATCCTTTTGTATGGTCCAGAGTTGGGAAATGGCCTAAAGCTAAGACAGAGTGCTTCTGATAACAAGAAAGAGGCATAGCCCCATGCAACTTTTAATGTTTAAAGAAAAGAGGTTACTCACTATTTTTAAATTTACTGTTGTAAGGGGTTTTAATCATATCTAGTATTTAATATAAGAATCTTGTGTCCTAAGTGACCACTTGAACAACTGCAGACACCCCGAGGTATTGGGAGGAAGCATATGACAATGTGTGCCCAACACATCCTATCTAGTTTCTGAAGTCACAGAAGCAGTCAAGAGAAGACAAAACTGAAAAAAAGCTTAAAAAATTAACATAGGTTGAAGGTGCAAAGTCAGTTGAAGAGTGCTTCTTGCAGTCCTTATGTGGATTTAAATCTATGCAACTCTTTGGCATAACTGCTGTAACAGTGTCTTGCCATACTGTAACCCAGTGTCTCTAGACATGCCTCAGGAATTTTGCATACACTATAGACAAGAAAAACTGAGGCAGGAGGCTAAAGACATTTGGATAAAGAATATCTACCTTCCAGTTGCTCAGGTTCCTGGAATATTTGCACAGTCTAGACTCGTGTTTGATCAGCTGGTCAGGTTTGTAGCCCAGCATGTTGTCCTGAACATGCATGATTGACAGACAGGTCTCAGTATAGTCAGTACCTTAGATACCTTAGTAGGGACCTTGGATAGGTCCCTTCAGCTGAAGGGATGTATCACTGGCTTCGATACAACTGCTTATGCCTTGGTAAACAACCTGCCCTCTTTCATGGTAATTATATTTTTCAAACATCTTGCCAACATATTCAAGTAGAAATTTTTTCTTGTATAATTTCTTAAGTATATCAGTTGTATTTGAGTGATGTATACAGAATCACTAGAGTTGGAAGGGATCTCTGGAGATCATGCAATCCAATCCACTTGTCAAGGCAAGGTCTCCTAAAGCAGGTTTCACAGGAATGTATCCAGGTGGGCTTAGAATGTCTTCAAAGAAGGAGATTTCATAACCACCCTGGGCAGCTTGTTTCATTGCCACCCTCAATGTAAAGTTCTTCCTCATGCTGAGGTTGAACTTGTGGTTTATTTTAATGGCCGCTGCGCCTCATCCAATCACAGGGCACCATTGAAGAGAGTCTGGCACCACCATTTGAGGTATTTATATGGATTGACGATATTCCCCTCTCAGTCTTCTTGTGAGACTAAACAGGCTCAGCTCCCAGTCTCTCCTCATAAGAGATTCTCCAGCCTCTTAATCATCTTTATGGCCTCTGCTTGACCCTCTACAGCAACTTCTTATCCTCCTTGAACTCTGGAGCCCAGAACTGAACACAGCCTTCTGGATGTGGCCTTACCTGGGCAGGGCAGAGGGGCAGGATCTCCTCCCTGACCTGTTGGCCATGCTCCTCCTGATGCACTCCAAGATCCCACTAACCCTCCTGGCCCCCTTGACACTCTGTCAGCTCATGGTCAACTTGTCATCCACCAGCACCCCTAGGACCTTCTCCACAGAGCTGGTCTCTTGTAGGTCACTAACAAACTATTCTAGTATTTGGGGTTAGTCCTCCCCAGGTGCAGGACCTCTAGCTGCCCTTGTTGAACCTCCTTAGGTTTCTCTCTGCCCAACTTCCCAGCCTGTCAAGTTCCCACTAGAATGACATCACAGCCTCCAAGTGGATCATCCAGATCTCCAGCTTCAAGACTGAGACAAGTTAGACAACTAGACCTTCCTAGCTGCATTCCTGCATATTCTGACAATGCTCCTAGTCTTCCTTATATGGCCTGTCCCTTTCTCCTTATCACATAAATTTCCTTCTCCCCTTTGAAGTTTTCTAGAAGCTCCTTGCTCATTCACACAGATCTCGTGCTCCCCGTGCCTAACTTCTTCATCACAGATATGCTGGATTTAAGCTTGGAGGAAGTGACACGTGAATACTGACCACCTCTCTTGGATTTCCTTCTCTTCTAGAGCCCCATCCCATGGGATTCCTTTAAGTAGATATTTGAAGTTAACTCTCTAGAAGTTTAGGATTCTAGTCCTGTTATTACACTCTGTTTCCACCACACAGATCCATGCACCATTATCTCATGGTCAGTACAGTGAAGGTCTCTATAGCCTTCACATCTCCACTCAGTCCATCCTCGTTTGTTAGTACAACGTCCAACAACACACCTTTCCTTGTTGGCTATTCTACCTTACATGTCAAAAAGTTACCTTCAATAATCTGCAGGAACTTCCTGGACTATCTGTGCTGTGATGTGTTGTCTCTCCACAAATATCAGGGTTGTTGAAGTCCCCAGTGAGAACCAGGGCCTGTGATCATGAGGCTACTTCCCTCTGTCCACAGAAAGGTTCATCAACTTCCTCAGGCTGATCAGGTGGATAAACACCTGCAACGGTGTTACTTATTTTAACCTTTCCCTTAAATTCTCACTATAAACCCTCAACTCATTCATCTGACCCTGGGTAGAGTTTAATACATTACAGTTGGTCTCTCACATAATGAGCAAATCCACTACCTCATCACACTGAATTGGCCACCCTTAACAGCATTTCAGTCACATGAGCTATCCCACCATGTTCTATCATTGCATTGAGATCATGGCCCCATGACCACACAGAGATTCCTAGTTCTTGTTTATTCCCCATGCTGTTTGCACAGAAGGGGTGTAAGAACAATCATGACAGCCATACACACCCTCAGCATGATTTGCCCTTTGACCCCCATCTTGATAGGCAGCCAAGAAGCATCTTTCACTGCACTGGTTGGCATGACCTAATCACCAATAACCTAATCAAAGAGGAAGGAATGGCACAAGCATCATAATTTTGAATCCCACTCCTGAGTCCTTCATTCTATAGTCTGTCTCTCCAAATTGGTCAGGGGGCTGCCAAAGATTCTCTTGCCTGCTTTAGACACATGGATCCATCCCATCTCTGCTTAACAGGCTACAATCATTGAAGTACAACCCACTGTTATAAAAGGCAAAACCTACTCAGTGTAATCAGCCATGAAGCCAGATGTTGATCTGCAGTATGCACTTCCTTCTGGCTGTCCCTTTCTCTCTAACTATGAGAAGATGACTTGTACACCAATGGTTTTACCTGCCTCACCACATTAATTAGTTTAGTAGTTGATTAGTCAATTAGTTAATTAGTCTTCCTTGATCCTGTCTGTTGTTTGGCTTCCAGCATCATTTGTTACCCACATGATAAGGTAGTAGCAGGTAGCTGTCCATGCTCTTGAGAAGTTGGGGTAGCATCTCAGCAATATCAAGGATCCTAGCACCTGGTAGGCAGCAAACTTCTTGTGACTCTATCAGGCCAGCAGAGGGGTGTCTCTGTACCCTTTAAAAGAAAGCTGCCCACTGCAAATACTCAATGTTTCTTTTTATGGTAACCTTGTCTGTGGACATCTAAAATCTTGAAAGCATCATACGTGTTTTTGGTTTGAATGTTGGAGTGTGGTAGGTGAACTGGAGCACTGTTTTTGTGGGTCACAAGGGCTCAAGGTGTCTTCTGCTCAGAGGTATCTATTGTAGGTGAATGGTTCTGAAGCCACAACTAAACATCTCCCTGGATCTGTTACTGAACCTAGACTAACGAATAACTGGGCAGGTAATTTGTTATCCGCAAGACCACTTTACTGTAGAATTTAGGCAAGACAGGTCACAGAAGCTTTCACATAACTGTTTCTGAAGCTACTGTATGTTTTCAATCATAATTACTGTAAGGTAATAATACATAATTAATATAATGACTAAATATGATAATACTAACTTAATACTGTAACAATACTTGTTCTTATGTAGGACCTTTGCATCAACCATACCTTAAGTTTCCTTGGGCAGTCTCTAGTGTATCGTTTCTTCTTGCTTGGTGTAAGCATTGTGATCACTTTATCTAGGCCTCTTTCAAGACTTCCAAATATTTTGGCTTTTCTCTTCTTTTGGCTGCTATCCACATGTGCAAGGTTGAGGTCTAATTCCACTGACTGACACCTGTTACATGAACAAATTAATCTGTTATTTTTCCCTCAGTGTTAAAAAACTAGTTATTTCAAAGATGTCTCTAAAATATTAGCAGACATGACAGAACAAAACGTGAAATCAAGTGCAATGTATTAGGAGTTTCTGTTTGAAAGTCTGTTGCAAGTTTAAACCCAGAGATGTATCTAGAAATTGCAGTCCTTTGGAGACCTGGAATAAGAAGGCATCTACATTATGAAAAATAGATTATATGCAGTTACATAGTTTTAAAACTTTTCTCTATCTTTATTGTTTTCTAGTGACTGTAAAACGAGGTTTTTGAAAGGTTTTTACCAAGAACAGCAGCTTGCTGTTGTAACAGGGCTTCACAGGCAGCACATGGATTAATGTAGTCCTGCTCTAAATCAGGAATGTACACAAATAACTGGACACTTACCTTCCTTCACAAAGAATCTCAGCGGATGCCAACTCATCCGCATTTGTTGGGTTATTGGGCTTCTTAACTGGGGTGACTCCCGTCAATTGACTCTCTGAAAGAAAGCATCCAAGCCAAACCAAGTATGTCTTTACATAAAACAATTGTCTTTTCTTCAGTGACAATTTCTCATTATTAATAACTTAGTTCTAATACCAGACCCCCTTTTCTATCTCAGGTCTAAATTTTGCAAATTATGAAGTATATTTTTAATTTTAATTACCTTTACTCTACAAATTAAAACTGTGATTGATTTCCCTTGGGCTCTACAAGTCAAACTGTAATGGTAACCTTTGCAGTTCAGCACTAGAAGTTTGAGGACTAGAAATGGTTTCTTGCTCTGCCACTGGTCCATGAATAAATACTGAGCAATCCACTACATCGAGTAGTTGTATTCTTCAGTGATCCATTTCCCTTATATGAAGGGTGTAAGATTACATAATCATGGTTTAATACAAAATGTACATGCTACAAGAAAAGCCTAACAAGTCAGTGTCTGCAGTGTATGGTTTTAAAGGCACAGGAGAAAGCACCAAGTTAAACAGTCAGCAAATAAGTTGTCACAATTAAACCAAATTTCAGTGTTCAAAGTTTTAGCCCTCTACAGAATTGCACCTAGCTCCAGACAAATAACCTCAAAATTTCTGCACAGTTCCACTTTTCTATTTCCTGAATCAAAGATCTTTCAATGCATCGAAGAATTAGCTTTCTTTGTTTAATCCTCAGAAACGTAACTAAATAAATGAACTAGAAATGTTTCTGTGTTTCCTGTTTCAGGGAGTATCTCTTTTGATTTTAGACATACACAGACATCAGACATTACAAGGTATCACGTACAATCTTAAGGCAAACTCATAAACTAGTCTTTGTATTGCTATTCTTGATGAATTATCTCATTAAATAGCAGTATGTTCAAAATCCGTTATTCCTCGAATCAGCTTGCAAAGACTTACTGTTCCTGAAAAATGTTCCTCTAGCAACTGAAACAAGAGTCTCCTATTGCAAGGAGCCTTTGGCATTTGAAGAACGGAGTTAGAATTTACAGTATCAACACCAAAAGTTTTATGGTAATCATTGAAGGAAATGGTAATGTACATATGGGATATGTACATGACTAGACAGGCTGATGACAGAAAATTCTGGTAACTCAGGAAAGCTGACATAATTTAGACAGATTTCTGTGGTCTGTTGCATAGTGGCAAAACCTACATGTTGTTAACAGAAGCATTTTCACTGCTATACTGGGCTGCCCTGTGAAAATGCTGATATGCAACCATAAGAAATCAAGAAGTTAGATTTCTCCTAGAAGCAGCAATTAAAACGGATTTAACTAAAAGTATGTTTTTATCTTCATTCAGAATAATCACAAAGGAAAAACAGAGTGTTGAGAAAACTGCAATCTGAACATTCATGGAAAAGTGGAACCAAGCTTTAAAGACACAGTGCTTGCTGCATATTAGGGTGTACCAAAAGGGGCTCACACATGATAATTGTGAACAGCAACAACTCTTGTAAGTAACATACAAGTAACATGCCCTGATGGATGGTTAAAACTCCTGCCGCACCCTACCAGATGTTCTAGAAGAACCTGGGTGGTGTATAGGGCAAAAAAAAATGAAGTATTCCAGAAACAGATGTATTGGATGAAGAAACATTGTTTTTATATTTGAGTTTTAGTGATTCCCAAGCAACATATATGTTCTAAGCTTTTATCAGTTACATTCTACATACCTTTGAAAGGAGGTGCCCTAAGGGGAACAGCTTGTACCTGTGTCTCAGTCTGACTCTTTGCAAAAGGACTCTTAGGAGCAGTAAGTGCAAAGGGCACTTCATTTCTTAAAGCTGACACTGTCTCAACATTCTCTTTGTTTTTATGCTTCTTTGATGCCACTTTTCTTGTCACTGGAGTTGACAGTATGAATTCTGTATCCTCCAGTTGGGCATCAGGCCTCGAATGCTACAAGAGATGTAACAAAAAGAAAGAAGCCGTCCTTTGCTGTATTCTGATCACATTCGAGAACATTACAGACAAGGAAATTCTGAAAGGATAAAAATACCATAAAATGCTTGACTCTAGAGCAATAGTTAAAAACTCTTCAGTACTTCTTATTCCCTCTATAACTTGCTCATAAGGTTTGCAAGTAATTTACCACTTTTTACCAGCTCTTTTACATCCTTTAGCTTGCACATTTAAGGCTATTCCCCACTGGCTCACCTAAACACAGCTAGGAATTTCCATTTGCCATAATTGTAAAATTTTAATTGCTTCATTTGATTTTGTTGTCCAATAGAGACAGGCTGCATTTCTTCACACTTGTCCAGCTCTAGTCAAGGTCTGAGACCTTGTTTGTTGTGCCTTATTTTTTTCCTGTTGATTTTAAAATCTTGTTTTACTCATTTTCTAGATGAAAAAAGCTCAGGTTTTAGTCAAATTACCTACAGCTAGAGGAAGGCACAATGTATGTTAAGCTATATATTTAAAACACTTCTTTACTCCATTTGTAATTTCACTAGGCTAGGGTCTACCAAACATTTACATATCCAATAACTTTCATGTACAATGAAAATAAGATCTTTTGGATTAGGGAACACAATATCAAACACCTGCTTTGTTCCATGAGTATTTATACGAAATTTTTCTAATAGAGATTCTTCAAACAGTGAAGCTATATCTGTAATATATCTGTAAATTCCATGAATACAAATGCCCATGGCACTCCACTGCACTCTGGCATATCATCTGGCATACATCACCAGTTTTTCAGATTGCAAAGAAATATTCAGCCGAGATTCCACCTCACACTTAAAAGTAAGATTTCATCAGAAAAGACTGCCATTAAAGTCAAAATCTTCTTCTAACTCTTACCCTCACCCATATCTTCCTAATAATGGAAGAAGTTCCTAATAATGGAAGTTCCCGTGATGGTGACCTAAGTTTTATAATGTGACTTTAATGTTGTTGTTGCAGATTTGTCATTTGTATCAAAAGCAGAGGTGAAACTATTCTCAAAGCACCATTGTCAAATCATCTTTCTTGACCCATGTCAAGAAGAGAAGCAACTCACAAAAATAGCCACCTTTGAATTCAAGTCTTGGACCACAATCTCTTTTTACCAAAAGTCCTAGTAATAATCTGGAAAGAGAGAATGGAGTAACGTTTAAAAGGGGGCTGGATAAAGGTAAACACATATCCAAAACATATAACTACTGAATCCACAACAGTAATTGCAACTAACATTTGGAACCCCTCATCTTATTGCTAGCTCTGCAACCCCCAGAAGTTGTGAGTAATGAAATCAAGGGATTTGTAACTTCAGCCAAAATTGTTAATCTTCATGGTTCACACCATATACAAGCAGATATATATATCAATATATTTCAAGATACAGATATCAAAGCATCCTTAGTTTCTAACACGTTTTGTAACTTACATGAAACTCTTCCCAGTGACTTATTTCATACCATTACAGCAAAACTGTACACAGTCATTTTAAATCGTCAGTCTTTGGCTGAAATGGACACTGTTTTAAAAAGCTGGAATGGATGACATTTTATTAACCTATGTTCTGCTGGTAAGTAAGTTTCTGTTGCCCCATGATCAAGGATATCATAATGAGCAGATCTCTCATTACTACTGGAATAGAGCTTGTCTGACAAGCTCCAGAACTTCTATGATACCTTATTGAAAAGCCCTTACCAGAGGGTTGCTAATGACAAGAAGCTAGGAGCCTGATACTGTAGCTGAAATCACATTTCATTAAACATGAATGCATGATTAGGTTACTTCAGCTACTGTGTTCTAGATGTAATTTGCAGTATAGTAAATATTTAGCAATATGCTTCTATGTTGAACTGCTTGAAGTCAAGCAGCATTACATGCAAGCTTCTGCCACCAAATTCAGAACTGGCTAACTAAAAGGCTCTGTTTGCTTGGTCATCTTCACATTAGACTAGGTCCAGCTAGCTACACGCAGGCAAGATAAATGTGTTTTGAGCACTGCAGGAGGATTAATTGATGTATTGTGTAGACATGAATTTCACCATCCTCTGGAAAGGCACAACGCATATATTAATTAGTAGCATTTGCCAATTTACCTTGGACATCACTAGAGATGAAGTAGCTTCACAGTTTAGCACAACTGAACCTAGTGAACCTCCCCCTTAATCATCAGTGTAGAAGGCTAACCCACTATGATCACAGAAATCACATTATGGATATTAGGAACACTTAGAATTCGTGATCAATTACGCAGCTCTAGTAATCCTAGAATTCCCATCTCTAAAAAGATGTATGGGTGAACTGAAAAATTTTACATGCAAGTGAATCAGATACATAAAGTATTTATTCTGAGTGCTTGCCTCTAACACAGAAAGCAGCATGTTCAGACCATTTCACAGATGTTTTATCTCAAGGAGGAACAGCTAAGAAAGTCTAAATAATAGTCTTGCACAGAATGATTTGGAATTTGTTGACTAGACTAACATCACTGATATCACATATAGTTGCATATTATATACAACATTGCAAGGAGTTTAGCAACTCCAGCCACGTTCGGAAGGACACTATCACTAGCAAAGTACAGGAACAGAAATTCCCCTAAGATATACAAAACTACTCCAGAATCCCAATCATCAGAAAAACAGCAGCACCACATTTCCTTTACTCAGAGTAAACAGCTTCCTCTCTAGGAAGATGTTCTCAAGATGAGAAAGGGATGACTCCCTCTCATTTGATCACCAGCTCCCATAGTGCCTATGTCATCTTAGAGGACACTGCCCAGGTGATATATTACAAGGTATCAAAAGATTTTCCTTACCAAATGCAGCCCTCAAAGCAGGAAAAAGACATAGAAACAAACACAGAGTACAGTTAGTCATCACAGAACAAGATCCAGAATCACCCAGGCCAGAAAACAGAGGATTTGAGACTATTAGCAATTCTGTATGGTGCTTGATGCATCAAATCGTCCCAGATGGCTATTCCAGTAAAGCAAATCCATCCACAGAAGCAGCCCAGCTCTAATTCATGTTAATGAGAAGACTGAACTCTTTAATGCCCGAGACACACACTTTGGCTGTGTACTTCAGAGTATCCTGAGTTGGAAGGGACCCTCAAAGATCACTAAGTTCAATTCTTAAGTGAATGGGGCATACGAGAATCAAATGGTGTTATTAGCACCATGCTCTAACCAGTTGCGCTAAACACGGGTGCATGCTCTCTTCCTAATGTTTAGAGCACCAGAATGTTTCTCCAGGCAGAGCTTTGTCAATGCAGAGCAGGATTTTAAGCAAGATTCTGTGCTGCTGAACTCAAGTTTACCTCAAGGCCTGTCGACATCATGGTACTGGCGTGCTTTGTTACACATGGAAACCTTAAATGAACACTCTTGCCACGAGTCTTCTTGGATAGAAGCAAGAGGTATGTTGCTGACATGTGGTCATATTTCCACTGGGAAAAGGGAGGAAGAAAGAAAAAGTATTTTAATCTGCTCTTTGGAAACATTGCAAATACAAGTCAAGCTCAGCATTCTGAGGATTTCTATGTCTCTACAAGTTTTTCTGTCTGATATGCAACCCTAATTACACATAAGTGTCATTTCAGACTTCAAGAGATCTGCATTATATGCCTGAGATCAAGAAAAAGGCACTATGTTGGTAGTTCATGCAGTAGCATGGAAATGCGGGAGTAAAGACCTATCCACTTGAAGCGAATGCAAACCTAATAATTTGGTTTATCTAATACTTCAGCTGGAGTATAAATTTTCTGGAAGCAGTTCCTGCCCACTCTTTTCCAAGAGGAAACTTTTTGCATGACTTTCAGCAACTCTGCATGGGAGGAACACAGACACCACTTTTGACAGGTTTGCAGCATAACGCCGTTAGTTTGAATAACTTACAAGGGATTAGAAGTGTTCTAGTAAAGGACTATGCAAATGTCACAAACTTTTTTGGAAGGACTTACCCCTCTGTAGACAGGTTATTCTGGTTATTTACTGTAACTAAAGAAAAGACTCCACAAATCTAAGTATCACACACGTTTTAAACGTCTGTTTCTGCTACAGTGATGTGGGAAACCCAAGTGTCTTAAAAAAACGCAGAACTATCGTCACTGCTAACAAGTACAAAGAAGAAGAAAATTCCATTTTCATGAAGAATTTTTAGATTCAGGTAAAAACTGGAGTACACATCACGCTTTGAGTCTTTTGCTAACATTTGCACAGTTCTTCTAGAAGTATTCAGTCCAACTTTTGCCATTTGTAGTCAAAAATGACTAAACATACTCACTATTTTTAAAGATCTGTGAATAGTAACTCAAAAAGCCCCTGTATTTTGTAAACTACCTGGGTGTTCTGATATTTTAGTTTTTCTTTTCCTACTCGTTACTGAACCATATCAAAGCAAAGAGATAACCCAACAATAAGTATCTTTTGTTCAGCTATGGATTTCTACAAGTCTCTTCTGACTTTCAGAGATTCAGAAGGATTTTACTAAAGTGGGAAATAACAGTAAGATTTAGGAAATATAAAGATCACAATTAAAGGAGGAAAGGAAATAAAAAAATATGAATTTCTGAACCATTAGCTTGTAGTTACAAGCTACAGCCAGATTCTAGAGTTCTGCAGGGGCACCTTAAATCTGAAATGTACGTAAGATGTCATACTTTGGGATATATAGGTAGTGGTCTGATAACACACAAAATTTATTTACTCTATTACTATACTTAATTACTCTAAATAACTGACAAAAACTTCTTACCTCTGTTATTAATTTTAATATAGTCTCCTTGCTCTGCTCATGAAACACAGAAAGCTCTGTTACACAGTCCTCATCAAGCTGTCCCAGCTGTAAGAACACAATGGATATTGAAGTGTGAGGTTTTCAATTTGCCCCATAATCCATATCTGACAGTGACACTGTTGTGAAACCTAGTGGGCTGACTCAATAATCAATGAGGATTTTAGACTCTGTATTTCAAATGTTTAGCATCACAGCTAAACATTGTAGGAAACAGACTGAAAAAGTCATACAACTTCAACAACTTCACAGCCTGGATCCTCACAGGTGAGAGCTTAAAAATTCAAATAAACCACCCAAAAGCAGGTAAGATTTTTTTACTGGAATGAAAGCTATGCTTTCATCTGCCTATAAATATCCAAAGATACAAACCATGCCCATCTCTACCAGAGACAGCTTGCACTGATGGTGCAAGCATAGCCAAATTGCTCTTTACCTAGGGTAACAGTGGCATCTGGCGGCAATGGGAAGCATTAGCTCTCAACGTGCAAGAACTATTTTCTGCTGACACACGGATTATTTTGGGTTTTTTCTTCTCCTTACTGCCTTCATCTCTCACACAAGTAAAACAAGTGACAGAGAGACAGGATGAATATTCTTTCAATGAAATTTGAATTTTTATCCAAATTTTCGTTGAGCACTACAAACATGATAAACCATAACCACATCTAGCATGCCCTTCAGAATGATTTGCACATTAAACAAAGTACTAATCAAGCAGCCAAGGGAAGGAGCTGGTCATTCATATGTGGAAGTACTTCACTTTTTTATGAGAATTCAGTTATTCTGCAGATTTAGCTGCAGAATATGATGAAAACATATTTGAAATTTCTCCTCAAGAGCTATCAAGAACAAGAAATAATATTTTGATAGCTAAAAGAATCAGGAAAGAACCACAACTATCTCAAAGTTCATCTTGTAACAAATAGTTTAATACAATGCACTATGGGTATGGTAGTAAACCAGCATATATATAACATGAAATGCTTTAGTATCTATCTGACCAGAGTACTTACTGGGTATTTACTTTGCCACTGAACAGCATCAGAAAATCCTTGCATGAGCCAAGGGTGACTTAACAGGTGTTGGATTGTAATCCGCTTCTTTGGGTCAACCTGGTGGGCCATAAAAATCAAAGTGATACTTCAATTGTGCAGAAAAAGTGAAGAAACAATTGATCTTCTACACAGAATGTTAGGGTGGTTAGGGGCAAAACTAGAAATCAATACTGTTTCAGAGCTTCACCAAAAGGAAGCTCACACTCAAATGCCTTAGCTGTTGAAGACCAGCTATAGAACCTACAGTACAGCAGATCTCTCAAGGATATGCAGCATTGGCTAGGTTCCTTAGCTGTAGCCCAAATGTGTATTTGGGCTACAAAACAGCTCTTGTTTTTATAGCATGTTGAGAACAACCAAAAGCATGCTGTTTGAAGAGTTTGTTAAATCATGTAAACTTTGCTAATTATTTTTGTAACCAAACATTTTCCCAAATATTTTTTGGCAGAAGGCAATGGTAATCTTTTCTTCAAAAATTTGTAAGAATTAAACTTCTTATTTTAATGCATAATGTTTTTAAAATATTTCATTGATGTAATGTTTTGAGTCGATTCAACAGTACATTATACATCTATTGAACAGAAGCAATACATTTACCTGCAGCATTTGGTCAAGGAGCAGTGTACTACTTGGAGAGAGCCAGTTTGGAGTACTGTATTTTCCTCTCTGCAAAAAAAGAAGAGGATTTAGAATTAACACTGAACCTCAAAAGAAACTATTAAATTTCTTGGACAACAGTGACATCTATACTTTGTGAAAAAAAAAAGAACAGGAGGAAAATGTGAACTTAGTTTGAAGTATGACTTGCAAAACCCATCAGTACTAAAACCCAGGAGCATTAGTAAGTTAAATGCCATGTTTGCATCACCAGCTGCACTTTTCATCTACTCTGCTTATGTGACACTTCCATCTCTACCCACTTTTGCAGCTAACCTGCTCCTTTCTCCATTACCTTGGCTCATCATATCAATTCAGTACTGAAGTTCTAGAAGAGCAAGCATACTGGATTATGAATGACTGCTATTAGCACTTTGCAATGTGAAGATTCCCTTAAATCACTACTTTTCAGACACTAAAAGTACACCATCCTCAGTATTATGATATTCTTTTTAGAATAGGTTACATCTAATGCTAAACTTTCAGTCTCATGCAGTAGACAGGAGAAATGTTACTCATCTAGCAAGTGAGATTTTTTCAAGATAATTATTTACTGTTGTTTTTCTTTAATTTTTGATTAGAAGAAAATTGAAAACAACTCCCAGATGTGAGGTGTAGCTAGGAACCAAACCAAATTCACCACTGAGAATCATTTATTTCTGAATGAAAATTGATATAAAAATAAAAATCAGTAAAAAGTCATTGTCAACCCTAACACAGCTATCATTTTGTAATGACAGTTTTCTTTATACAGACAAATGTCTTCATAACAACACAGTTGGTATTATATGCAGCTACATTTCTAAGTATAGTATGTATTTCTTTAACATCACAGATTAAAGAATTTAATCTGTGTAAAGTTACATCTTTATAGATACTATTAGTAAATTATTTAGGAATAGTTCTGTAGGCTGTTTTACGACACAGATTTACTGTGAAACTAAGTAACATAGGTAATCTACATTTTGGTTTTAGTATATTGCTACAGAACATGACATAACAAAGAGCAATTCTCATCTATGGTACTGTGGGCAATACTGGATGGTAAATAGGCTGCGATATCTGCCAGGAGCATAAGGTCATACCAGAAGTAATTTGCTTTTTACAGTAGTTATACCACAGATTAATTTCTCAGTTAAAAAGTCAAGCCATTGATTCACAAATGAAGATATGTGGAACAGGGAAAAGCAGCTCAAACTCTATTGACTCAGCTGTTTCCACTTTATAGTGACTTTACTGAGAAACTGTAAAGACTTGCTAGCATTATTTGGACAACATTCTTAATTACATGGTTTAGTTTAGGTAGTCTTACAAAAAGCAGGGAGGTGAACTTGATGACCCATTTTGCTCTCTTCCAACTCAAGATATTCTATGATTATACGAGTTGGGAAGTCATGCAATTTTAATGGCATCTTGTCTGAAATCAGTACCTTTACACAATCTCTTTGGATTAGACAGTCTTTGCTTATTTTTTTTTTATTATTTTTTCAAGTTCTCTCCAACAACTCAACTAAGCTTCGTAGAGATCTTCTGTCAAGGTAGTCAAGTGTGCTCCAATTCCAGATTAAAAATCCACAGTTTGATGAAATAATCAGGTGCTTTATAGAGCTCAGACTGTTACAGACCCTGAAATCATCTCCTGTGCAAACCAGTGTAAGCTGCCCCCTGCCAAAGTAGTCCTTGAATACCCTCAAGGATGTTTTTTAGGCATATGAGATTCTTGGTGAGAGGAGATTGAGGTAGAATAATCCAAAAGCCATTACTCTACACTGTTGTTCATCATCCCACTCAGAGCAAGCTTTATCAACACAGACTTTTATGGCAGCTCAGAAGCAACTGGTGGAGGTGCATGTGATGAGGAACAACAGCTGTTTAGCCACATAAAGAGGCATTTACAGGGAAAGAACCAATGACTTAATTATACTATTTACTATTTATTCAACTTTTATTTGAGGAGGAAGGTACAACAGCAGATGTAGAATCCTGCTTTTCCTAGACATGAGAATGGCTGACATTCAAGAATAGTATTTTTAGGGAGAAGACAAGATAAACACTCAGATATAAAAATCCAGCCAACTAGCAAGAAAATGCTTCTTCTGCAACTCACTTTTCTACTATATCATAGGACAAAGCTAGAGTACCACACAGGCTGAGGGACAACAGAAACAAATCCACAAAATACTGATCAAAAGAGAAACAAAGCATAACATAAATTAGCAGATAAGCCTTTTTTGTTCAAATCAGAAAGCAAAAATGTCCAATAAAGTTTAGTGATTCCTGTTTCTCATGTATTCTAGTATCATCAACACCTACCATGATCTTCTTGTAGACAGCCATGACATTATCATCATCAAAGGGGAGAAAGCCACATAGCAGAGCATACAGCAGTACTCCCATACTCCAAATATCTGCCTAAGAAATAAAAGTGAGAACTCACAAACCTTATCTGTCAAAATGGCTTAGAGACTGAGCACATTGTCTCCTTTTGACAAAGCCCACATGCAACTTGCAGAAAGTAGGTTCCTTAATTCTAGACAGAACTCTTGTAGTCCAAGTGAAAGCACACAATTTTCAATTCACTGAAACTGGAGTGCTAGTAAAATCATTACTCTTTTCCTTAGGTCACCAAACTGCCACAATACTTTCAGCCTAGAAAGATTCCATTGACAAAAAGGAAACCAAACTCATCTGAAGGGATTTTGTACTCAAAAGTACTAGTGATTATGACAGCTGTCAGTAGTTACAATCCGCTTTAAAGCCCTACTGTTTCTTGTCAGTATAGACATGACGAGGTCTACACACCTCATACTGCAACTCCCGCTTCAGTCATAAAGATGTAGGAGGTTTGAGAAGCACTGACTTTGTGGAAAACAAAGAAAAAGCAAGAATTAGAGGTCAGGGAAAGTGGTGCAAAGGAAGTAAAGGATAATAGAGACTACATCCAACAGCACAGACAGGAAGTTTGAGGAGATTGAAATTGCAGCATTTTGAATGGATTGATTGACAAGGGCATGTATCAGATCCTAATGATCTAGACAGGGAATCAAAGCTGGATAAATGCCACAGTTTTTGTTCTCTTTAATTTTACTACACTGCACAGTACATACAGCACATTTTCATACAAAATTTCAAAGGCAAAGATACTGAAGCTGCACAGAAATTTGCAACAAGACTTGGATAATTAACAGTACAAATTCCTGCTTGGAAAAATGTGGTAGAAGGCAGGTTTTTTTTGTAGAGCAACACCTGGGGACAGTGAAGGATTAGTCAGAGATGAAGATGCCAGGTGCAGAACCTGTGGTCAGGAGCTATTCTAGGCTGTGATTGCTCTCAGTCACAAAGCTTCTGAGAGCCACTGAGGCAATGTGATGTCAAAGAAAGACACCAAGGGAGTATATCTGAATTTCACCATCTTTAAATACATGGTGCAAATAACCACCTTAACACACCCTTTTGTCACCCACCTCTGAGCCAATGTATGCTTTGCCTTGAATCAGCTCTGGTGCTGCATAAGCTGGGCTTCCACAGCAGGTGTTCAGATGGTAATCAAGGCCACCCTAGAACAGGACAAAACTGATGACAGAGAAGCATTGGGTCTAACACAAATGGTGTCTCTTAGCAACAACATATTAGAGGCCTCAGAAGCTTCATTTTCCAATGCTGTGTCCTAACTTTTGGCTTTGGTACAATATATAGCTTCACCAGGCAAAAACTGCCCAAGATTAGGAGAATCCTATGTGTTCAGATCCCAAGCTGCATCTTCACATGTTATCGTGGCAGCCTTTTCTACAGCTCCTCCTGTGATAGGAATACTTCCCTTTGTGACCAGAAAGACAAGATGGAACTTGGGAATCAGTAACCCAGGAGCTACTGGACATGAGGCTGCTTGGATATTTATATCAATATTTAAAGCAATAACTTCATGAAGAGCCACTAAAATGCTTCCTTACTAAAAACATGTTATTCGTTAGCCTGGGCTTTGCTCTAAGCAGATCAGAGTGAGAGGACATTGTACCACCAAGATGGTGGTCTGCTACCTCTGATTTCCTGGAAGGTGCTTTAACTTGAGTCAGCTAAAACTGAGAACTTTGGATCAGTAAGATCTTCTTCTAATTAAATTCCTCCTTCCCAGAACCCATCTTATATGTTAAAATGACAAACAGAGCAGCAATGTAGAAACCAACTTTAAACTTGTTAAACAACTCAGTACAACTGCGTGGAGCCAAAGGCTCTGTAAATGTAAAGGGAAATCTATTTGATTTGATCCACAATCTCCATACACATAGACAAATCCTGTGAAAATGACACATGCCATTGAAAATTATTGAAAGCAAATGGATACCAACACAAACTTTACAGTACAAGCCTTTGTGGGAGCAGATACTCTACAGACAAGGCAATTTGTGCCTTAAAGATGAAGTGTAAGAGGAGAAAAACTGATATTCTGCTCAAAAAATGTAAAACTGTCCCACACTGTTAAGGCCCCACAAAGCAATTAGCAGTGGGACAACTGCACCAACAGCTTGAATTCAGGGCAAGGCTATTCACTGTACCATGAAGTTATGCCTGCATTTTTTATGTGGGCACTGTAGCTGATTAAGCTCTGCTATGAGAGCAACTGACATCCTTACCTTTGGCTTTGCACAAAGTCCAAAGTCTATCAGCTTCAGATTATGTTCCTCGTCAATCAGCAAATTTTCCTAGTAAAAGAGGTAATTAATTCTTACATAATGACAGGTATCCAAGAAACCACATTTCTTTCACCCTATTTCTTCTTGCCATTGCCAGCCATAATTTCCCTAAAGCTTCCTCTGGAGATTTTGGTTTGTTGCTAAAGAATATATCCTATTCCAGGGAATACAAGCTCCAACTGCTCAGAGAGGCCTAGGGGGCTGCTAGACAGAAAGCAAATACTGTGAGGCAGCAGCCTGCCCTGGCAGAAAAGGCAGGCTGTGATATCCCAGATGGTGTGAAAAGAAGCAGAGCTGGCAAAGTGGGGGAAGCCACTTGCCCTCTGTTCACCACAGTGGGACAGCACATTCAGTTTCTGCCCACCCTCTAGCACAGAAAAGACACCTGAGCTAAGTTCCATTGATGGACATCAGCCTGTCCAGGGTGCTGGAGCATTTTTCTGTGAGGAGAGATGGTTTTTCAGCCTCTAGGTGACAAAGCTTCAGTGGAGACCTCATGGCAGCCTTTTCATTCCTACAATGGGAGCATAGAGACAGCACCAGCCCCTCCACAGAAGCACATGGTGGGATGATGACAATCAACAAGCATCAGCAGACATCCAGACTGGTACTATGAAAAAGTCTTCCCCAGAAAAAAAAGAAGTAAAGAGCTTAACAGGTTTCCCAGCAACATTATGGTGCCTCATGGGAGAGGTCCAAGATGTGACTGGATGAAGAAGTTTGGTCTGACACTATTTTAAACAGGAGATAAAAGCAGAAGCCACTAGAAGTCACTTCCCAACCAAATTATCTCACAATCCCACGAACCTCTCAAGTCTCTAGCTACCCCAAGAATTTGTTTTTCTCAGTTGTCAGTGTCTCTGTACATGCAAACTTCTAACCTCTTCTAGGAGAAATAGTCTCAAGGCTTCCATTCCCTAATCGCATGCTTAATTATTGTGATGACAGCAAAGACACAGGATCAGTATTGTGGCACATCCCTCTCCATGCCCAGTGATCATTTGTTTACATTGTGGGAGTCACATTTTCCTTTGATTGTCAGAACAGAATGGTTTGCACAATACAGAGGAACCATAACAACTCTCCCTAGGTACAAGCTGGAATAAAGGGGATAGCAAAAATGCCTAACCAACAGTCAAAATCAAATCCATGTCTGCTGCATTCTCAACTGGAGTGGTACTATTCTGCTTCTCCTCCAGAGGAAGCTCCTTCCTCAGATTCAACTACATCCAGCTCAGTTGAGGAGCAAAGCAACAAGTAGAAGTAACACTCTTTCAGAAAATATTAACTAAAAAGCTCTAAGCACAGAACAGAGAAGACAACTCACACTGGCTCCATTCAGAGAAATAAAAGTGGGTCTTCATTATTATTATTTGTGCAAATCTGACTACTGTTCAGACTTACTGGTTTGAGATCCCTGTGGGCATATCCCTGATCGTGCACATAAGCAATTGCTGAAACAATCTGCCGAAAAAATAGGCGAGCTTCCTCCTCAGAAAGGTGGTCCTTAGAAATGATGTAATCAAACAGCTCTCCTCCAGGACAGTACTACATGAGAGCAGGAAAAAAGGAATAAGTCTGGGATACAGTCATGAAATATAAACATGAATAAGAGCACTGGGCAGCAAGAAGGCACTCCTTCTTTCTCTCTACTTAATCCCAGCAGCTCCCAGGCATGCCCCAGGCCAGGGTTCAAGAGATCCAACAAGCCCAAGAGCTCAACTCCTGCCCGATGCTTGCCATAGCCATATAACACTACCAGCACAGGTGACAGAAACTGCCAAAGATGTGACAACTTGGTGGCACTTCTCAGGTCCCACATACCCTGCTTGTGACGTTTTCTGGAGTGTGAGGTGGGAATTAGTCAGTTTGCTTATTACAAACAGTGAAAAGTGGCTTTTCCAATGAGACAGAATACACTGTCAGCTTCATTTTTAAACTATAGCGCCTTGGACACACTCATCATTGAGATGCTTTTCTAAGAATTGTTTCATTTGGACTCTGCTACCATCTACTGCTACGGCTAAACCCAGAGATCTTTACCACAGCAGAAACACCATTCCTTACCTCTAAAACCATGAATATTTTCTTGGGTGTCTCAATCACCTGATACAACCGGCAAATGTGCTGGTGACTCAAGTCCTTCATAGCATCAATTTCTAATTTAACACGAGGCAAGTCATCCTAAAAGATCACAACAGCAAGGTATGAAATTGCGAAGTAGTTTGACAGTCTGTACAACGCAGTAAACCTGCATATAAGAACTGCTCAAACTCAAATCAGCACCAGCTCTGTCACTGCTCACCTGCCCTCCTCAAACACTGGTCAGTAAAACCCAAAGGAACACCTGTATAAAGCTACTATTCTCATCAGAACTCTGTTTGACTTACAGTGGTTTATTTAGTTATTTAAAGCTGTAACTGCATGAGTTTTACACCCAAAGAACGTTGTCCTCTCCATGATGACACAGGATTTGTGGTGCCATTAAAATTCTTTCAAGTCTACAGCATCTACCACAGTGACAGGTCGCACTCATGCTTCTGAGAACTCCACAAGAACAGCACATTACCAGCTCTGAAGTATCTTTTGGATTACCTGTAAAGCAAGCTTGTCCATGATTTTTATCGCAACTTTTTCACCAGTAAGACGATGTCGTGCAAGTTTCACCTTTGCAAACCCACCTAGAATTTGAAACAGAGATGTATAAAGCTCTGCATGGTGACAAGCTTTCTCACACACATCTCAGTTGCCCTGAAGCAAACACCATATGCACAGCATGCAGTATCATTGCTAGAGAAAGAAGCAATTGCTGCCACCACCTTCCAGTTACACTTCCACAGTTGCACCCTGCAGAATACGCCAAGAAAACATGACCCACAGACTCTGAAGTAACAGTTAATCTCTCAGATAAACATCGAGGTGAGCGGACACATCACACACACTTGTTTGCATTCACAGACTGAGCCCACCTGTGCCGATTGTTCCGTGTAATTGATAGTACTTGAGAATTTCCTCATAGTCATCTCCAGCCATTCTGCGGCCCGCAGTACTCGGACAGCTCTTCTCAGCACCTGCAAGGGGAGACTACAGATTGCGCTCATGCTTGCGGGCACAAGAAGCGACTCAGCAGCAGCAACCCCCAGTGAGGGTGGAGTGGCTGCTGCTCCCACGGATCTCTCACGGCTGCCTGGCAACAGGCGCGGGAGGGCCGCGGTCCTGAGTCGCAGAGGCCAGAAGACCCTCGGGTCCCACCCTGTTTCCTAGGGCTCTCCGCCAGGATCCCCTCCCTCCCCGAGTGTTACCGCGTCCCGAAGCAACGACCCTGCAGCGGAGCAGCCTAAAGAATCCGTTACCGTTCAAATGCCCCGCTTCCAGCCGCTGGGTTAGAAAAACCAATCATCGCTCGCTACCAAACCGGAACGGGCGTGGAAAGCAAGAGCATGCCGGGAGGGAGGGAGTGGGCGCTGCCGGAGTAGGAAGGTCTCTGCTGGCGGCTGCCTGCTAACGGGAGTGGCCTAAGCCGAGACTATTCCCTACGGAGACAGAAGACCCCTCTGTCTCTTCCAGAAAGCGCGTACGCAGGACCAGCATTCGGGACTGGAGCGGGGTCCGCGCCGCAGCGGCTGGCGCCAGGCACAAGATGGCGGCCATTGCTCCGAGGAGGTGCTGTCCCCGCCGCTCCGCAGGACTATCCCGGCAAAGTCCCGACCGGCCGTGCCTGCCGTTCCCAGCGCAGCCCCTGGGCCTTCTGGGGCCGGACCACCTGAGACACGGCGTCTCTCCGGGCCGGAGCAGCGCGGGGCATGCGGGACTCTATTGTGAGGCATATGTTTAGATGACCAATAATAGACAATAGGTGCATTAATGTAGTATTGCAGCTTTGGCCTGTACACGCGAAGATACACAAGACCGTTGGTACTTCTGTCTGCCAGCTATTTAAAGAGGCAGGAAATGTGAGGGGGACAGGGTAGGAAGAAAACACGGCAGGAGAAAGGTCAGGAGATGTGGCGGGGAGAGAGTGGGAAACAGGAATGGAATAAGAGCAGGAAACGTGAGGAGGAAAGTGTGAGAAACATGAGGGGAAGAAATTGGGAAACGTGATGGGAAAAATGACAGGACATCTGAGGAGAAAAAAGGGCAAGGAAACAGTATGGGGAAAGTGCAAGAAGCGGGGTGGGGGGGAGTATGGCAAATGTGAGGGAAGGAGGGCAGGAAACACGGGGGGAAAACCGGGATGCAGAATTATCAACTCCTATCAAAATGTCCACAGCAAAACAAGCCTCCCTCAGGACTCTGCACAGGCTTGGGGCAAGCCATATCTCCAGGGCCTAGCCTGGCCTTGGGAACAGGGCACTAAAATCATCTGTCCACCCCTGTGCTACCATGCAGAGCCACTGAACAGCTTGTGCAGACCCTGGAATACCCTCCTGAAGTATGATGGTCATTGCTGACAAAGAGCTCATGGCTTGCTGAAGGCATAGGCTTCCATCTGGCAAGGCAAGGCTTGGACTGGTATGTGGCTGCTCAGGCAAAATGCCTATGCCTCTCATGGGGCAGGATCAGACAGCCCCTTTTCTGTAGAAGTACATGATCTTGTTCTCTTCAGACAGCTTTTTGTTGCTTTCATCTTTTCTCTGGGATAGGCCTTGGGCACTCTAGATTTCCTCTAGGGACAGATCTCTCTTAGATCTTAGTTGATGTAGTCTTTCCACCCTTTCTCCTCCTTGATAAAGCCTCCATCCTTGGTCTTTGACACTAACAGGACTGATACCTTCAACTGTCCCTGCCCACTGTCTGCTGTGGGCATGTGCTTCCAATAAGCAAGGTGAAGGACTGGGTGAGAGCAGGGGCTGTGCAGTGCAGCTGCCCACCTCTCTGCACCTGTCACTTTCACACTGAAGGCCAGAAAAGCTGTTGTTATTGCTGCGTCTTGTGCCTCAGCAGTAAGAGGTATGTCATGTTCCCTTCCTCAAGAGCTCTGGCCAGAGATGGCTCAGAGGCTGTGGCACCCACTGGGGCAAGAAGTGCTCAGGTCACTGTCCTGCTATCTCTGTGACCATGCTGCTGAGACAGCTAGGCTTCCTCTGGGTCGCAGTGTGAGCGTCCTTATTGTTCACTGGGCCCAAGGAGTTGTCCCAGATGTCCCAGATGACATCATCTTCCAATTGGGACAGATTTTGTTCTTGTCCTGTCAATGAGACAGTTTCTTTTCATTGTCATCTTCCCTTTGGGAGAGCTCTTTGTCACTGATGTCTTCCCTTGGGACAGGTCTTGGTCTATGTGGTTTTCTCCTTGGGAGAGCTTTTGGTTTCCCATTCCTGTTGGGACCTTGTCTTTCTTGTAGAAGATCTCTTTGTCATTGTAATTTCATACTGGGACATGCCTTTGTCATAGTGATTTTCATCATGGAGCATGTCTTTGTTGTCTTCGTGCTGGGTAAGTTTTTTGTCATTGTCCTTTTCCCTTTTGGACATGTCTGTCTCTCCGGTATTTGCCTTGGGATATCTTTCTGTCATTCCCATCTTTCCCTTGGGACACATCTTTGTCCTTGTATTCCCATTATGACAGCTCTTTATTACTGTAATCTTCCCACTTGGCGAACCCCTTCCCTCCAGTATTCACCTTGAGACAGATCTTTCTAATTGTTGTCTTCCCTTTCAGCCAGTTCTTGGTGTCTTGTCTTCATTTTGGGACAGCTCTTTGTCCTTGATGTCTTTCCTTGTCACAGCTCTTGCTATCTATCATCTTCTTACTCTTTCTCCTCCTCAGGTTGGCACAATTGTTTGGAAAATTTGGTTCCAGAAGCTCTGGCATCCTCTGATGACTCATGATTTTTTCAAAATCCTGGAAAATTTGTCTGACTTTCTTGAGCAGGGACAGTCTATGCTCTGCACAGGCTGGGCTTCTCATCTTCACCTTCTGCAAAGGCTCTGTCTTGTACACAGCATTCAGATCCTTTGCAGTCTTGTGGTGCACCAGCAGAGACCTGCGGCTTGAGGTTGCTTTTAATGGTGTTGCTCTGTCCAGTGCCATGTCCCTACATCTCTGTCCAGGGAATGGACTGCTGGCTTTGTCTCTGGCTCCCCATATAATTCTTGTGAGGGATATCATGCACAGGGATGTGGTACTTGTCCTTCACACCTGCAACATGGGCTTCGTGGTGGTGTGGTGCAGCCCTCAAGCTCTGAACATCTGTGGCTGTGCCCTGCTCACTGTGCCTTGAGCAATGGGGACAAGCAGTAGCTGGCTGTTGCTGGCTGTGGTGATGGCCATTCTCTTGCCCCTGGCAGAAGCAGTCAGCTGCTGGCTTCTGCTGGCAGAGGAGGCAGCGTGTGTGTGCAGGAGTGCTGCTGCTGTATTGCTGGCAGATGGGCCAGCACACTTCCTGTGTCAGTCTGGTGTGGACAAGGCAGTGACACACTGTGCACCAGGCTGTTCATCTGCAAGAGAAGCTGTGGAGGCTGCCTGACTGTGGTCCTTGCTTCTGTCTCCTGCTTGTTCCTCCTGCCTGCCTGTCAGCAGTTCCTGGTGGTGGGAAGATGTTCAGTCCTCTCTGCCCCGGTCTCCATACATTAATGTGATGTTCCCAGTATCCTATGAGCTCTCTGGGCACAGAAGCTCTGGCACCCTGCTCCCACAGAGAGATGAAACCTGGCTCTGGCTGCCTTGCAGTGCTGCCTGCATCTCTGTGTGGTTCACCTGGGTCTGCCTCAGTGGTCCACCTGTGAGAAAGTGGAAGCATGGGATGGAGGTGGCTGCCTTGGCAGAGTCCTGAGACAAGCTTCATGATGGTCAGTCTGTACAAGGATACAGAAGCCAGTTTTTAACTTTGTCTGTGTAGTGATTGAGAATAACACACCACCACTTTTTCATCAAGCAGGATCATTTTTATTAAACACACTTGAGTATGTATGTTTCTTCTGTGTACAAGTTTTAGGATCAATGACACAGCCAAGCCAGTAGGAGAGATAAAGTAACCACACAAAATCAAGAAGAGTAGAGCTGATGTTTCTAGCTCTTATCATTCATTCCACAGACATTCACAGCCCAGTTTTTTGGGTCGTAAATCAAAGCACAGATATTTGTTGCAAGAACAGGCTGTACTTGGTTTTTTGGTATGGACTTTCACATGGGAGAAGAGCTGTTAATCAAGGTCAGGATGGCTGAAGCATGCCACTACTTCTACAGTCTGTCAGTTATTTAAAAGAGAAAATGTAATTTTCTCTTGTAATGTAATTTTAAAGATAAATGTAGAAGGACAGGAAACATGAGGTAAAAGAAGGGAGGGAAACGTGAAGAAAGAAAAGTATAGGAAATGGGAGAAAAGTGTGAGAAACAAGAAAAAGACCTAGAAAATGTAGGGGGAAAAGATTGGGACATGTGAGGAGAAAATAGTGAGAAACATAGAGGAAAACTGTGGGGAATATGAAGAGAAAAAGTCAGGAAATGTAAGTCAAAAAGGGGCATGAAACATGAACCTCCCACTACAGGTCCTATCAGCAGTTCTGGACCCCACTGCAGCCCCAGACCCTCCAGCTATTACTCAGCCTTGGATGTTGCCAGCATCCAAAAGCAGTTCTGGACCTACCCAGCTTCTGTCACACAGCTCTGGACCCTGCAAGCACCCAGGCCCTGCCCTTTGGCTCCCAGGCAGTCCAAATATCCCAGCATCCTCAGTGCTAGAAACTTAACAAGCCGGCAGTGTTCTGAATCCTTCCTCAGGCTCCATGGGCAGAATGATGCCCCATTCCACAGTCCATGGAGTGGCATCTAATGTACCCCATGCTGCAATGCATTTGGGGAGAAACCTCAGATTCTCACTACCCTACCTGGGGACACCCCCAGTCCAGCACTCTTGCCACCAGCCAAGTCCTGTACTCACCCTGGGACTCTGACAACCCCCGTTTTGGGACACCCCCATGCTCTTCCCTGCCTGCTCCTTTTGAACTTTAGTTGTTTCCCCATAGCACCTAAACACATTTGGGGTGACAGCTGCTGGGGGTGGCACTGGGGGATACCCACTACCTGGCCTGGTGGCTGAGCTCCCATTGTTAGCGTTCAGGAACACACATAACCACGAATGGTTATATGAAGGTGCTTTATTTAAAGAGCTCTGGGTGTCAGGGGTACACATACCCAAATCTGACCCCACTTGGGTTTCGAGTTGAACATATTTTATACTCTATCATTATGCAACTTACATATTAATTATTAAACTTACATTGTTCTGTTGTATACATTGTTTTTACCCAAGCATGAATTTCTCGTAATCCCCCCTTAGCCCCCTAACATGGTTCCCCATGTTCTCTAAACAATAATTATATCTAATCACATCTAACAATTGTATCATTTATCATATACTGACTGCACAAGTGCAGCTTGACCTGGTCTTTAGCAAGCACAAGGCCTAACATTTCCAGGGCCTGATTTTCCCAGGGCTTTCCAAACCTAACTTTCTTTCTAAGTCCCTGAATTTTCTAAGATTTTAAGGCCTTTTACTATCATTTCCCCCCTTTGAAAACATTTTCACTTCACCATAAGTGCAAATGTTTTCACTTGATACAGTCCTTTGTTTCTGAGTTTATGCTTGGTGTTCTTCAAATCCTCGATTGATGTAAATGTTGTCCTGGATGCTGTCACGAAATGGAGAACCAGAGGATGGTGGGTGTAGATCTCACGTCAGTGCCTTTATTATCTTCTGGTTCCAGGACGTTTTCTTCTGTATTTCTCTTTTTAAGATGCTGTAAACTAACCAAATTGCTAAAAATACAATTAGTAAAATTATCACATTCTCAATGATAGATTTAATCCATGAATTCACATTCCACCCTAACCCTTGGAAGATTTTACCTAACCAACTTGTAGTCAA